GAAACAAATACAATAAAAAATATTTATAATTTTAAAAAAGCTTGTAGGTTAACTTAACTTGCCAACCCAACATAGGTTGGTTTGATATTTTTTTAACCCTTAAAATAAGTTAGTTTAACCCAACAAACTTATGTTTTAGTAAGTTATAAGAGTGAATCGATCCTTTGACATCTCTAATTTTTATATAACATCTATGTATTTAAATTTTGTTTTTGAAAAGTTAGAGTATTTTTAGAAATATTTTTTATTATGTAAAAACATCATATAATCTATAAAAGAAAAGTAATACATCACAATGATTATTGCTTGATTTACTTAGTCTTAAGTAATAAAATCTTAGCGATTATCTCAATTTCTTCTTTATTTTGTGTGTTTTTTGCTTCTATTTAATCTCATTTTTTTTATAGGTCTTTATTTTTATTCAAGTTATTTTTAGTTTTAAAGATAATTACACTTTTTGGACTCTCTTTAGTAGATTAAATAAATTTTTTTGAAGGAAGATTTTGGAGGTTTTTTATGGTTGAAATTCAATCTGGCTAAGCTAAATTTGAAGTTAACTTAACTAAGGAGTCAACAAATTGAAGACCAAGTCAAGGAATTTCACTCGATGAGACATCAAATTTTTTTTTGAAGAAAAAACTTTGTTTTCCTAGTTCTAATTCCAAAATCTTGCTTAGAAAAACCATCTATCTCATTAAGCAAAAATGTGCATGATACTTATGAAGTAAGGACAAAAATAATAACTAGTTTAATAACTTTGATGTACTTTATTATTATTTATAAAAAGATATCTTCATGGTTGAAGTGACGTTAAAAGTTTCTTAAAGCTTAAAATCTTCGTCTCTTTTATTTCTTCGTCAATCTTTTTTATTCTTGTGGCTATGTGTGACTAATTTCTCTCTCTTTGAGATTTGATGTAATTAGATGGATATTATGTATTTACTTTTGTTTTAATAATCTGTTTTATTCTATAGTTTAGAATTTTGCTTTATTATTAATACTTTTTAAGAAATTAGTGTTTGATGTTAATGTTAAATTGTGATGTATAATACTTTTTAATATGTAAATATATTTTGATGAACCGGTGAAATATAATTTCAATATTCCCCTTATTAATTTTTGTAATAGGGAAATACTATTTAATATGATTTTTAATATACGAATTCATGTACGTAGAATCTCTGATGATTTTTGTTATTTTTTCTAATTATATTTGTACTATCTGTACTGCGAAGCCGAGCTCCGAGCTCGGCACCACAGTGCAGGATGACCTCGGACACGCGCTGTGTGACGTCAGCTCGTCATCCTAATCAGATCATAACTAATCTCGGGCTCAAGGCCCAACACAACCCTAATTCACACTAAGGTACGTGCATTATTTATACGAGACTCACACTCATACAAATCCTAACTTTAGCATCGGAGTCTCTTTTGCAGGTACCACCCCCATCTTGGAGCATCAACGTACCGGTGAAGGAGGCTCACCGATCTTACCTGGCGGATCAACTCTACAGCAGATTTCCGGTAAGAACATTTGGCGCCCACCGTGGGGCCGATCAAGACAGCTCTTATCGGCCACGCTTATGGTATTCACCAGAAGCCATAGCAGACGCGCAACAGACGACGCAAACCACTCAACTACCATGGACAACGAAGCCACATTGAGGAGACTGATCGACCAGGTCGAACAGATGCAGCAGCAACACGACGCCGATCTGCGAAACATGCGTGCCCAGCACGAAACCGACCTAGCTGCGATGCGGACCGCCAATGAAGCAGATCTAGCGGCACTACGCGTAGAAAACGAGCGGATTCGCGCCCAGCTCCCTCGATGCCCCTCTGATCATCCTCCTGAGGCGAGCAACCTCCACGAGGAAGAAGGGCACTCGGTCTCTCAGCCCCGAACTGCGACTAGGGCACCGACTCCATGACCTGCCGCGCACCGGTCTCATGTTCCGACGAACAAGTCGGTCCATGAAGTCAGCAAAGCCCCAACTCATGTCACACGGGGTCAAGCAACCTTCCGTTGTCATCCCTTTGTGGATGGCATCATGGAGACACCACTCCCTCAGGGTTGGAAGCCTCTCCACCTCGATCGCTATGATGGCACGACGGACCCCGACGAACACATCGACCTATATACGACACAGGTAAACCTCTACACTAACAATGATGCTATATTGTGTAGGGTTTTTCTGACCTCGCTCAAAGAGGTCGTGCTCAACTGGTACACCCAACTACCTGCCGAGTCAATTGACAGCTTCGGCACCCTGGTCAGACGGTTGACAGCATAATATGCAACGAGCCGACCTCATCACATAACATCAGCTGCCTTGGCCAGTCTCAGACAGAGTGACAATATGGATCCAACTTAAGTTCTTGTATTACTAAGCTAGCCTAATGGTTTGATGTATATATGTATGTGTTTTGTTCCTTGCTGCTTAGCTGAACCATCATCTTTAAGATTCCCTTCTATTGCATCCTTTACTCTGAGATTTTCCAAAGAGCGAGAGATCATAATTTGTTTAATTTTTTGTATTTTATTCTATCCGATCAAGTTCTGTTTAGGTATATTAATTTGCATGTCCTTCCATGAAGCCACCAAGTCATTACTTATTATTGAGAAAAATCTTATATACTCGATTATTTATGTGTAAATAAAGCGTTGTTATCAGCATAGTATGACATTATGTATATTTGAATACTCGTTTAAAATTATGCTGAATAGAAGAAAAAAAATAATTGTAAGTGTAGCTTTTTCATCCATATTCTTTTGAAATATACTTTTTTGTTACTATGGAAATTTTATATATGCCTGACTAAATAATTTTTAATCAAATTTATATTAAATTTTTTAATAATAACTAATGTGTTAAATTTATTTTTCAAAAATTATTAACATTTTTCTTTTTCCCTCTTCAAATAAGTTTTCTGTTTGCTGATCATATGTGATTGATTTTATGGTTATATATTTTATGAGAATATGTATTTTTTTTATTTATTTTTTTGATGATTTTTTTTTGTGTAAAAAATTTTACACTTACATATAAGAACGTGTGTTCATTTAATGAGTTTGAACTCTCGTACAATCGTTAATATACTTAAACTCATCCAATAGGAGGATATAAGTCGATAACTTAAGAGCTGTCAAAAAAAAGCCTTTTTGGATGATAATTTGAACTTTTTCTTGTGGGAACAAATAGACAAAGTTTTTTTTTCTCGTTATTTTGATACATAAATTTAATAATAACTAAATACTTATTTTTATTAAAAATGACACATTTTATTGCATACAATTCTTTTTTACTTAAATATGCTTAGTCACAGTAATATAAACATTTTAAAATATAACTATTCCAGTTTAAACCTTTTTATTAAAATTCAAAAGCAAACTTTTTATATATTTAATTTCAATTAAAAAATAATTCAATATAATCAAAAACTTGTAAAATTATGGCCCAAACATACAAATAGCCTAGTTTGGTGGATTGCAATGATTTTTATACAAGCCTAGCCCAAATTACAAAGGACAGCCCAAGATAGAAAAGTCCGGTCGCAGTATAGTATTTTGTTTTTGCTGGACCATAACCACACTCATTAAGGGTTCATTTGATATACTTAATCGAGTTAATTATCTATACATTGTTAATGTAAAAAAAAATTTTGGTATGCGTTATGGGTATTTACTTGATCTTTTTTTTCTGTGGGTGGTTGTGACCGTGTGAGTTTTTTTTTTTTTTTTTAGGATAGAGTTAGGTGATTGGCACTTTCAATTGTGTGAAAATGGGCTATGGGCATCATTTGAAAAATAAATTAGGACAGTTGGCACGTACACATGGATAGTTGTTGAATAATAGAACTATAAAAACATGATTTATGACAAGTAGCACAATAGGACAAACAATGAGAAGAATTAGATATGGGTTAGTTTCTTTCAAGGCGTGAGACATGCATTGCAACCGCCTTGGATTATAAAATATGGTTAGTAAATTGTCAAGGTTTGAGCATTTTCAGCAAAGTGTGATGAGTTTGGATCCAAATCATACTAAATTTTTAAATAGATATTTATAATTTTTTTCAGTAAAACTTTAATATATTTTTAAACAAATTCTTATGGATGGGTTCACATAAAATCTCATAACCGTGTGAGTTTTTTTTTTTTTTTTTAGGATAGAGTTAGGTGATTGGCACTTTCAATTGTGTGAAAATGGGCTATGGGGTGAAGGAGGCTCACCGATCTTACCTGGCGGGTCAGCTCTACAGCAGATTTCCGGTAAAAATAATATTTATTTTTAAAATCACATGAGTATCCAATTAAAAAAAAAAAAAAAAAGAGTTGACATTCGTACAATTTTTGGCGAAAAGTTCATGTACCAAATAACATTACTCTTTTGTAATATATTACTTTCAAGTGTTCATTAAAAGCTCTAAAAACAATTTCATACAATCGAGTCTCTTTATTGCTTTGAACTTTGATTCATGTTAATTCACCTTTCAACAACTTAAAATTTGATTTCAACGTGTAAGTTAATTGTATTGAGTTAATATCGTCAAATATTGCACAAAATATTTTAGAAAACAAGATCTTAAATCGAAATAGTTGAACGAAATTTAGTATGCTTAGGAATCCGTTCACATGTAGAATTTGTGTATCTATTTGTTATTTCATTATATTATAGATTTCTCTCGTTATCTGGTTTGGTTGTAGAAATTATGGTATAAAAAAAGGTTAAAAAATGTGAAAGGACAAAGGAGATCGAGTCCGATAGTGCGTGGAGTTGACAAAAGTGATCCCTGCCGTCGCCTCAAAACCTCTGGAACCAGCGGTCCCACTCGCGTAAAATAGAGATATTCCCTTTCTTTTTCCAACCCACCACTCCGTCACTCCCACACACTGCTTCTGTCTCTAACCCAAGCCACTCCAACTCCAACCGCGTCATGCCACAGAACACAACTATAAAACAAAACAAAAGCCATAGACCTTAGTGCTCATACACAACCCAACCCAACCCCTTTTATCTTTTCTATCTGCCCTCCATTTAGCCACCAAGTCCCACACTACTAATATATATGAATACACGGCCTTATTTTCTTCCATATAATTATTTTACTACTTTATAAACATTCCATCCTATTCTCTTCTCCCTCTTAATCACTCCTATTATATAGGTCCCCCCCATTAACAATATAATTACGCTTACCTTCTCATTCTCATATCTTCCTTTACGCGTTCAGCTCCTTCTCTCAGGTTATCAACGCGTTCTCTCTTTCTTTTTCTGTTCAGAACTCAACTTTCCAGAACAAGCTATTTTACTCGTAACTTTGCTCAACCACTAGTCCACTCCATGCCCAATAATTTACATTCCTTTCGTTAGGAAAATAAATTCGACTACAGAATAAAACAGATACTTAAACGCCCACCCTACATTCCCTTCGCTCCTTTTGTCTCATCAATGAATGGTATTCCGAAACACGAACGCCGATGGGCGTCCGACACCGTTCCTGGGAAAGCAACCGTCAGCGCCGGAACTTCGCCGGGAACCGAATCCAACTCCGCCGCCGAGGAGTTCGTGGAGGTAACTCTCGATCTCCAAGACGACGACACCATCGTTCTCCGGAGCGTCGAGCCGGCCTCCGTCATTAACATCGACGACAGCGTCTCCGGCAGCGGATACGAAACTCCGGCGTCAGTCACGCGGTCGCCGACGATCCGGCGAAGCTCGTCGAGAGGATTTCGGCAGTTCTCGCAGGAGCTGAAAGCGGAGGCGGTTGCGAAGGCGAGGCAGTTCTCGCAGGAGCTGCGAAGGTTCTCATGGAGCCACGGCAATGCTTCGCGCGCGCTTTCGTCTTCCTCCGCTCCTAACGCCGGCGCCGGATTCGAAACGGCGTTGGCGGCTCGCGCTCTCCGGAAGCAACGCGCTCAACTTGATCGCACGCGCTCCGGCGCGCAGAAAGCACTTCGCGGTCTGAAATTTATCAGCAGTAAATCAAACGGCGTTGATGCGTGGAACGAGGTGCAGAGCAACTTCAGTAGGCTCGCCAAGGACGGTTTTCTCTATCGCGCTGATTTCGCTCAATGCATAGGTCCGTTTCTTTTTCAAATCTCGCATTGTTCGTTTAAATCATCTGACTCATTTTCCTATAGAGTTCTCTTTTCCCTCCCTGTTTCATTGCATTGGATTTTCAATAGTTATTTAGATCTTCCATTTTTGCACCTTTATATATTTATACACACACACACGTACTCTTTCTTTTGCTTGCTACTGTTTTTTTTTTATTTTTTATTTTGTTGGCTTAAAGAGTGTTGTGCTGAAGGTATGAAGGATTCGAAGGAATTTGCTCTGGAACTGTTTGATGCTCTGAGTCGTAAACGAAGGTTGAGAGTTGACAAAATCAGCAGGGATGAACTGTTCGAATTCTGGTCGCAAATTACCGATCAGAGTTTTGATTCGCGGCTTCAGATCTTCTTCGACATGTAATTATTGTTGCTGTTCAAGTTCAATTTAATTAGTGACAAATAATCTTCCTCTGTTTACTTTTCATTCTTTAATTAATTCCGCGATGCCTAATGACAAATTAAACGTATCATTGTTCAATGTCACCGTATATTTGCTTTAATATTTAAATGTCCGTCAAAGCGTTGATGCTTTCTTTGCTTGTAAGTTGTAATGCAACTATGATCATTACGTGCTTTATAGTTTATATTTTAAAATCAATCTTTATTGTCTTCACAGGGTGGACAAGAACGAAGATGGGAGAATCACCGAAGAAGAAGTAAAAGAGGTATAGAAGACTTTAATTTTATATTTCCAAAATCCAAACCGAAACTATATCTCTCATGTTTGCATGCGAATTTTAATTTTAATGCTCATTTTTTTAATTAATGTGATATTCTTCATATTATGGACGTAATAGGTTGCTTACATGGTGTCCACTTGAGTTTTAATAAATCAACATTAGGCTGGATTGGTTGAGCTTAATTTAATGCTTACTAAATTAACTGCTTCCAATATTCAATTGTTCCCACTTATAACATTTTCCATGTTCTAGAACGTAATATTAATTAGTTGGTGTATATTCAAGAGTTAGTGAACTATGTCTTACTTTTTCGGCTTTAGTCATACATATGGCGCTTTCATTTTTCTGATTTTACCAAATTCTTGGAATTTATAATGAAGACGGTTTCAGTGGAGTTGGTGGGGGCGTAGTCGTCAATTTAAGCTGAAGTTTTTCTTTTGTCCCAAATATGGTTTTTTTATTACACGTAATGTTCAGTTAAAACTTAAAAAGTTTTTACATTAAATTTTTTAATTAACCAATTCCTGTCGCGCCTATTGATGACAGATCATCATGTTAAGCGCTTCTGCAAATAGGTTGTCCAGATTGAAGGAGCAGGCCGAAGAATATGCAGCTCTCATCATGGAAGAGTTAGACCCCGAAGGACTTGGCTACATCGAGGTGGGAAGTCTTTTTATATTCCATTATATATTCTAATTTTATCAGCACATGCATACATATAGTCAAAATAATGTGTTCATATCATTCTTTTCATAAAAAAAAAATAAAAAATCATACAAATGATTAATGAGTAGTGTGGATTGCGTGGAGAACGGAAATAATCCTTTATACACCAGTTAAGTGCATATAAAAAAAATGGTATGTGGTGTTCATAGCGTATTAAATGTTTTGGTTTGTGGGTGACATTAAAAATTTCCAAAAGAGCAATTTCAATGAAGTTGTTTAAGTAGGTTTTTTAAATTATGAAGATATAATTTTATTATTATTATTTTTCTCCATTATAGCTAATATAGCGGGTAGGACTATTTGCTTAAATTTAAACACCGTTCCTAACATAAAAGAAATTATTTATAAATAGAAAATTAATTTGTTGTTTTTTAAAAATATTTTAATGAATTTTTTTTTTAAGTGTAAATATATAAAAATATGGGTTTTTTAAGGTTTGTATCATTGAAGTAGAATGCCAATGAATTGTTCAAATGTGATATGGTGCAATGGGATTCACTTTGAACGCACTTAAGAATTCAAAATAATTTGCTTACGCAAGCATTTTTTTTTTCCTGTTGTATATGATTTTGCTTGGCATATTATAAGAACAATTTCTCTCGCAATTCTAAATGTATAAGGATTTATTTGCTGTTTAGATATTTTTAAAAATAGAAAATAAAGTAATAATAAGGTAAAAATATAGTATCACTAAAAAAATTAAATGTCACATTAAACAGGTTTTAAGTTGTACAGGCAAATTTTTTAGCAAATACTAACGAGTGTCTTTATAAAATATTAAATAAAAATAATTTTTAATTTTTTTTGACAGAAATAATTTTGAAGTTTTTAATATATGATGCTGTAAAAAAAAGTTATTAATATATGAAGTCTGTATTTTTATGATTTTTTTTACTCATTATTTTTTTTAAGAAATTTAATAAATACTTTTAAAAATTATAGTTGACAATCCTTGTTTGTGTAGTCCTCCTACTTAGGTTTGTGGACATTAATTTTGTCAGTGTTGGACTAGGACCGCACTTATCTTTTATCAAAAGTTGGGCGAATTTGTGAATTGAGCAAATCACACGACATTTCTAGAGTAGTTAGCCGTGCACAAGGGGAAAAAAAGAAAAAGAAAGACAAATCAGGCATATTATAAATTATTAATATATACACACTTGCTTGCTAAATTTATGATGTACTAACAACATCATAACATCAATAAATACATAAAAAGGTACATTATTAGTAATAAGGTGCACTTAATATGCAATTTATTTCTCATCCTTTGGCTGTGTCAACAAATTTATCGGTAAAATAAATTAGAAACCACTTTGTTCCTTTGTACTTAATACAATTAAGCTGTTATTTTAGAAACTCAATTCCTGCAGAGAGGGTGATTAATATAAATTATTACAAGGACCTCTTTGACCAATATAACATTATTTTCAGAAAATATCCATTATAATTTTTTGGCCAGTACCGTTTTTTGTCTTTGGGCATCTCTAAATTTCAGAGAGATACAAGTTAATGTGGACATGGTTTAACGGTAGCAGGAAAATTTAGGAGTTGATGGAATTGCGTTGTTACATGCTTATCCTTGATAGAGTATTCTTCGTACAGAAATGTTATTTCCACATAAATATCAGTCTCATAATAATTTTTATAGCAAAGAGAAAAGATATAAGTGTAAGATAAAATGAATTATATGAAGATAAAAAGTAAAAAAAGTGTTATTGCATGTGAGAATAATATTATTTTTGTTCACAGGTTGATTCCCCTTTTCATTCGTTCCTTTCTCAATTGTGAACTTAAAGCATAAATATTATTAGTTTTCTGTAGGTTGTGCTATTTTTTACATCTTAAGAGAGAATAAGGGAAAAAAAATATAGATATAAATATATAATAGATAATATATATACGTGATAAGAAAAAAAACAAATAAAAAGTTATTAAATAATGGATATATACTTATTTACATATAATAATAATAATAATAATAATAATAATAATAATAATAATAATAATAAGTACGATATACGAGGGATAAATTAGAAAAGGGTCACTACTCACTATACCATTAGCATTTGCTAATTTATGTTGGATAAAACAGCGGACAGGGAAGAGGGGGTTATCTCCCTGACCAACAGCATTCTGGACAGACATTGTGAATTCAATTTCTTGAGTAGTTTTCCTTAGTCTCGCGTACACCTTACTCAACACGTATGCACGCGTGATGCATTCTGTTGCTCTTGTAATGCTAATAATGCTGAAACATCTTTTACACGATTCAACCTCTGATAGTTTTGCGGCATTTTGGATGGTCATTATGTCATCGCAGCTGTGGCAATTGGAGACGCTTCTTTTACAAAAGGACACGTACCTCAACTACAGCCAAGCTTTAAGCTACACAAGCCAAGCTTTGAGCCAGAACCTACAGGGTCTAAGGAAGAAAAGTCCTATACGAAGAATGAGCCGCAGATTGCTCTACTATTTGCAAGAGAATTGGAAGAGACTTTGGGTTTTAACATTGTGGGTTTGCATAATGATTGGGCTGTTCACGTGGAAGTTTATTCAATACAAGCAGAAAGATGCATTTAAGATCATGGGCTACTGTCTTCTCACGGCTAAAGGTGCGGCTGAGACCTTAAAGTTGAACATGGCACTTATACTCTTGCCCGTATGCAGAAACACCATAACTTGGCTCAGGTCTACCAAGCTGGGACACGCTGTACCTTTTGATGACAACATCAACTTTCATAAGGTACGCACTAATGCCACGGGAAACCTGTTGAGCATTAAGCCATTGACTATTTATTTACAGTAACGCCACCAATAACTGTAATTTCGAATGTCATTTTTGGTCCTTTACATTGTGATATCAGATTTCTTATGTTTTTACTTTTTACTACTTTTAAAATTTAAAACATGCAATGATGAATGATCAGTGGTAAAAGACTAAAATTAATGTTTAGCATCCTCGAGATTGTGAAAGGAAATGGCAACTATCATATTAAAGTGTATGTATGATAATAAATTTTTCTGTACTTATTGATTCTTATAGACAATTGCTGGGGCCATCGTGATTGGTGTTATACTTCATGCCGGGGATCACCTTGCTTGTGATTTTCCGAGACTTGTAAGGTCATCTGAAGAAAATTATCAAACGTATTTGAAAGGTGTATTTGGTAAGCATAAACCCAGTTATGGAGACCTAGTTAAAGGCGTCGAGGGTGTGACTGGAATTTTGATGGTGATTTTTATGACAATAGCATTTACACTTGCAACCAAATGGTTCCGCAGAAATCTCATTAAGCTGCCTAAACCATTTAGTAGGCTCACTGGGTTCAATGCCTTCTGGTATTCACACCATCTGTTTGTCATTGTCTATGTCCTCCTCGTCATCCACGGAATAAAACTTTACCTCGTGCATGAATGGCACCTTAAAACGGTATATAATTTTTAGTATCACATTTCAATTAATTAGGATATCTATCAAATGCTTTGTTTACGGGTGATTAGTTACTTATGCATTGATTTCCGTTTTCAGACATGGATGTATCTTGCGGTTCCAGTTTTGCTTTATGCGTCAGAGAGAATACTCAGATTATTCCGTTCTGGTTTATATACTGTCCGTCTCGGCAAGGTGAGCAAATTAAGTGAACCGATCAGAGTTGGGCTCTGAAAATAGTTTTCAACTCCATAACAAATATAGCTTTATTACTTGTATAGACTACTCTTAAGTACAATTGGACTTGGTTAATTGTGAGCATCCAGACAGAAGAGTCATAAAAAGTAAACTAAAACCTGCAAGAACCAGGAATCCAAAACCTTAAAAACCGCACTTGACTCTATGACTTCTTATAAATTGCAGTCATTTAATTTGAACGATATGTTAACATCGTTTCCCCCCTCTTTCTTAAACATGGAAAATATTTAGGTTGCCATATATCCTGGAAATGTTCTCACATTGCAAATGTCTAAGCCTCCTCAATTTCGCTACAAGAGCGGACAATACATGTTTGTACAGTGTCCTGCTGTTTCTCCGTTTGAGTGGTAAGTTGCATTTTAATTTTTAACATTAAATGTTGCATGTTGCGGTGTTACAATTTATATTATGCTTGGTGTATTTTTTGGAGTATGGATTGAATTGAAAGAAATATGAAAAACGATATGAAGTTGGGAAAATTAACCACCTGTGCATTTTTTAGTATCCATAAAACAGAGATCAAGAGGATAGTACTTTTGCCCCTCATGCTCAGGCTTATTGAACAAGAAAAGAAGGGGAAAGAGAAATGATATTGCATTTTATAAACAATAATTAGCAATCTCCATTTTGTTTCAGAGTGAAACTTGTGTCATCTTTGCTCAATTAGTAATTTAGTATCGGTATCTAACAGTAACATGTGACAATATATATGACAGGCATCCTTTCTCTATTACCTCAGCCCCTGGCGATGACTACCTGAGTGTTCACATTAGGCAACTTGGTGATTGGACACAGGAGCTTAAAAGGGTGTTCTCTGAGGCCTGTGAGCCTCCTGTATCCGGGAAGAGTGGGCTTCTCAGGGCTGATGAAACGACTAAGAAGAGGTACATATTGCGCTTGCCATATTTTTTGGCCTTCTAATTTTCGGTCCTGGGGGTGTAGGGACAAATAATTTATACTTAATTTCCCGCCTACTTCTTGTTAACCATTGATATAGTTTGCCGAAGTTAAAGATAGATGGACCTTACGGTGCGCCGGCACAAGATTATAGAAAATACGATGTTTTGTTACTTGTCGGTCTCGGGATAGGAGCAACACCTTTCATCAGCATTCTGAAAGATCTTCTCAACAACATCATCAAAATGGAGGAGATGGCGGTGAGTTCCAGCGCTACCTAGTATTAATTACATATTCATGTTATATATATCAATTAACTGTGTTTTGTTAGTGTGATGGGTCGTATACGAATTGCTATACTGATCATTATTTGAACATCTGCATGCAAATTTAGTACGATAAAATATGACAATCAGGGTTTCTTCTATTCAGGACTCAGTCTCCGATATTAGCAAAGGTTCAGACCTTAGTGCTGGGAGTACTACTGATTCACCATCTCTTAATAAAATTGCGCCAAAACGGAAGAAAACACTGAAGACTACCAACGCTTATTTCTACTGGGTTACGAGAGAGCAAGGCTCTTTTGATTGGTTCAAAGGAGTCATGAATGAAGTAGCAGAGCTTGATCAAAGGGTATTTAGTTATTACAGAATATTTATTTTTGATATTTCCTCCTGAAGAATATTTTGTATTTTGCAAGATGAATAAGAATTATTTGCAATGGCTAATGTTGAGCGTCAAAATATGGATTTCAGGGTGTCATTGAGATGCACAACTACTTGACTAGCGTATACGAGGAAGGGGATGCTAGATCCGCCCTTATCACCATGGTGCAAGCACTCAACCATGCCAAAAATGGAGTTGACATTGTTTCTGGCACTAGAGTAAGCCCTCACTTTTTTGTCATTTTTTTTTTTTATGTATTATACACTATGGATATCACCATTTAATGTCTAAGTCGGGTCGGGAGTGAGTAAATCTAAAACCTTAGCTTGCTTCTTTGAATTTCTACTATCAGGTGCGAACCCATTTTGCTAGGCCTAACTGGAAGAAGGTTTTCTCTAAAATGTGTTCCAAGCACTGTAATGGACGAATAGGTGAGTCAGTCTCCATCAAGCATATTTTGGTAAACGTTAGACTTTATTTATTTTTCTCAGTGTCATTATTTCAACAGATCAAGTAAGACTTTTTCTATCTCTCACTTCTTAATCTTGTTTTTATTCACGTATCTAAAAAATATTTTCTTTCTTTCCCTTTTACCGACGCTATGGTTATCATGATTGGGATCAGGGGTATTTTATTGTGGCGCACCAGTTTTGGCCAAAGAACTTAGCAAACTCTGCTTTGAGTTCAATGAAAAGGGTTCAACAAAATTTGAGTTCCACAAGGAGCATTTCTAAGCAATTTGGACGGAGCACTCCCAGCTGTACTTAAAGTTAGCACGGTCACGTCACAACTTAAACCCGTCACTTTAGCAACTTTTGGCGTGGCAAGATTATATTGATTATATTCAACAGCTAAAACCTTTTTGTATAGATGTGAAGCATTGTACATACAGCCAGCGAGATTGCTTGGCATTTCAGTATACATGTGGCGACATAACTAAAGAGATAAGCGCAATTATACCGTCTACCACCTAGAGTGCGATACAGCTACATTGGAGAGATGTTGACCTGATTGTGGAGCCACGTCGAATATCGGCAGATACATCCACAGTGAATTAGATATGGACATTTTTGAAAAAGATAATAGGAGGTTAAAGGGGACTAGAGAATGGAATTCGAATGCCTTTTTAAGATTAACTTCCTGGTTTTCCTTCAAGGGGATTCAGGGAATTCTAGAAAACTCAGTGAAGCAAATGACTCATTTCTGCTTCTGCTTGCATCCTAACGGGGAAGCGGGGAGAAGGGGACTATATATCTTTGTAAATGAGACTGGTATACTGTTTTCTTTTTTAAAAGGGACCGATAGTTCTAATCTTTATTTATTTATTTAGTCATATACATTTTGGGAAAATTAGTGACGCACGAATTAAACTATTATTGAGTTGATGAAATGTTAATGTGCTAAAGCTGTCTGGTCAATGCTAATGTTAAAGCTAGCTACGGTTACAAACCTGATCAGAAGTATATTGACAATTGGGGTCCATGCTGATTGCTGACTTTTCATGAGCCACCTTTACTTCATAAAAAAATCCGCTAATGCCCATCGTATAGAAGGCTTCACCGTGAAAATTGTTCAGTAAGGTTCTATTTGGGTATAATCTTTTCCTTTTATTTTTTTCAGCAAAGTCTTTGAATATGTTTTAAACACATCCTGAATGAATGCAATATGAATCAACGTTTGAAATGGGTGTGCCTGAGATAAAGACTAAATGCAAAAGCTCTTCTGCGTAATGGAGGAGGGGCTTGTTAATTATTGTAAACTGAAATGAAGTTGTAAAGAACATATGGTGGTGACTATTACCAGTGTAACTATTACATTAGACTTTATACGCCTTTTAAAATTTACAAAACAGATGAAAAAAGTCAAATATAGTAAACAGGGATTGGAAGTAAGTTACTGAAAAGCCCAATTAAGCCCAATTCATAATTCTTGTAAATATGCAATGAATAATGATTATTTAACATCCTTTCATTTGTAGTGAGAAGAGAGAAAATGATATTACAGGAATAGAAGAAAAAAGAAAGAATATAAGATGGGTATAAAATGGTGCCGTGAAAATGTCCAAAACTTAAGTATTATTTCTTAAGCAGTGTTGTGGTAGTTCTGCAATTATAATTATAATTTGATTTTAGTAATATATGACAAGTTTTAATTAGTGAATTATCTAGACGAAAATCTAATTTTAATTAGAAAACATTACGAGCACTTAAAAATATTGTACTTAAATTTTATCTTAAAAAATAATTAATTTACAGTATATTACCTCTAGATTCTATTGGTTGCGTTTATACCGCTCTTTTGCCGCAAGACCCCTTATGTTTAGCAAAGTGTAAACTTAGGATGTTGTGCATATTACATTGACATTCATTTATTGGGCCGATTCTATTGATTCATTGATAATCTATTTCTATATAAAAAGTATGAGTTATTTTGAGGATTTTTTTTTTTTGACAGGTTGAAGAAAATATTTAAACCTAGAGAAAAAAAAAACTTAACGCATGTTTGTTGAGAAGTAATTAGTTGTTATTTTTCAATTTGCAGGCAGGACAGGAGAATTTATGACTATAAAATTATCAAACACATTATTAATGTTCTTTGTCATATATTATTGACAATATTTTTATTATCATTATTATCCCTGATAGGGTGGAGTGGAGCAATTGAGATTTGAGAGCGGAAGGTGCGGCGTATCAGGAGATCAAGAGCATGCATAGTACGATAAGTAAACGGACAACTAAAAGCAGCCCTATGTACGGGTCAAGTGCAAAATGCCAGCCCAATGGGCCAAAACAAAGTGCTAGTTATTTTTCCACTTCAGCAGTGTTTTCTGAATTGGGAAAAAGAGAACCAATGAAATGCGGTCTATGAAGAACGATTTATAATGTCTCTTTGACTAATACACCAATTAAGGGAAATCAGATGGAAATTTTATGGTAACTTGGAACATTAGAATTCTGTTGGTTGAATCTGATCACTTCAATTTTAGCTCTTCTCCCTCCCCGAGAAGTGTTAAGAGATTATTTTCCAAAGGCCCAAGCTGGGTCTTCATGACTAAATCAAACATATTTAAATGTCATATTCACAACCGGCGAAAATCGATAAGGTAGTGGCAAGAAACTGGACCTAATTTAATTTGTTTATGATGCATTTGCTGATTCCATATTCTGCATTTCTTATTCATTCTGCTGTAGCTGGATGTCTTTTCCTTCTAGAATCCTTCAAAGTCACTTATCTTAAATCATCATCTCCATTTTTAATTCATGACTATAAATTTAATCATTCTCTTGCCTTCAGTTTAAACAAGACCCAGTTTAGTCAACAGTCAAGCCGTGCAAATACTGGAAACGCGTTCAGGAAAACATCAATCATGGACTTACTCTATCGTTTCTTAATGCTAAATACCTAAAAGTCAAAACAATAAGAACGTAACCTTATTATACTTTAAACTAGTGGTCTCGTTGCAAGGATAATTTATTTAATAATAAATTTCATGTTTAATTTTTATCGTATGATAAAACCTTTAATAGTATAATAAGTAAAATTAATCTCTAGTCTCATGAATTTAAAGATAATTATGACAGAAAAAAATATATATAAAATCACGAGCTTAATCTCTAATCCATGTGTCTGAAAAAATATTTATTAAGAAAGATCACCTCCTTAAATATATTTTAGATATTTGAAGAAATTAGTTTTAGTATTAGGAGTCCCAAACTCCATTCATCTTAATTTTTTAGAGAGAGAGAGAAAAAAAAAATAAAGGCCATCACCATCAAGGTAGAATCAACCATTTGAAAACATTACATAATAGAAATGGATCGAAGTATCCATAACCCAATAATAACTAATAAAGCATTATTATGTATAGTAGCAATAAAAGCAACTATAGATCCCCAGAAGCAGCAGAAATAGGTATGGCTCTAAGCCCAGATCAGCAGTTGAAGCCCTTAGCACCGTTCATATCATCAACATACTTGAGCACTGAAGAAAATCAACAACAAGAACGCAAGAAAAACAACCGCATAAGAAACTTCATCCTGTGCTTTGGCTGCGTCACTGCCCTTATTATTATACTCGTGGTAATAGTCCTAGTCTTGGGCTTCACCGTATACAATGTCGAAGAACCCAAGGTGAGGTTGAACGCCGTTACCCTTCTCAACAACAGAACCTCCGCCAGCGGTGCCATCAACAACGTTACGTTTCTCGCTGACATGACCGTGAAGAATACGAACGCGTTTACCTTCAGGTTTGGAAACTCCACCACCACGTTCTACTACGATGGAACGATGATTGGTGAGGGTAAGTCTCCTTCGGGTAAGGCCAAGCCTAAAAGAACCATAAAGATAAACTCGACGTTGGAGATCATGGCTAACAAGCTTTCGGAGATTCCAAGTTTCGAGAGAGATCTCGCGGATCAAGCTTTGAATATAAGCAGCTACACCAGGATCGATGGTAAGGTGAAGATACTTAATATTTTTCCGAGGGAGGTTGTGGTTGAGATGAATTGTACAGTTGTATACAACGTTACCACGGGTTTGGTTTCGCATGGTGATAATTGTCTTGGAAACGTTGATATTTAGGTTGCAATGTTATTTGTGAAACATGTTAATTAGGATTCTACTATAGTTTTGTACCGTACGTGCATGTTGGAAAATTTAAGAGCTTATAGTTAATTTCTGTAGGTTGTTTCTCATGATCAGAAATGTTTCATCCACAGTCGTTGGAAATGAATTCACATGCACTTGAATTGTATCTGCTCATTTGAATATTCGTTGACAACATCCCTTAAAGCGTACGGTAAATGTTGTTAACTATTACTCCTAGTCTTTTCCATAAAACTTTCTGAGAAGTTTATCCTGAATCTTTATCATTTTTATAAGATTATTTTTAAATTATTTATTGAATATTTGATTTTTGTAAAGAAATTTCCTCATTCTTAGTATTCCTTTGGAATTTAATATAAGAAGAAGAAAAAACTAATATTATTTAATTTTACAAATTTCATATAAAATAATATTTTTGAAATTACCCTTTAATAGAATTTGATAAATAGTGTTTTGAGAATGGTATTCGTATCTGTACCGTTTCGGTGATAATCCGACCCGATCCCCTACATAGGTATGTTTTCTCGGTCAGAATCCGATGTGACTTCTCTACTTAGGCGCAACATCTCGGTCAGAATCCGATCTAACCCTCCATATGGGTGCTCAGAATCTGATCCGACCCCCTTTACGTAGGTGTGTTGTCTCGTTCAAAATTTGATCTGATCGTCATACGTAGGCAATGATCCGATATCGAGGATAAAATCTTATCTTTAATGACGAAATATCCCTAAATAAAAACTGTCATAAAAATATCCGCGCTCACGAGGCACACGAGGCTCATGAACAAAAAAGTATAAAACCCAAAACTCTAAAGCTAAGACGACACGTTACACACTTAAATGCTCTGACTTGGGAAAGTGACCTAGGAGAAGATCCCTAGACGCCCCCTTTGACTGGAACAGTATCATTAGAGAAAGTAAAATTAGTTAATATTTTAGTAGATCACATGTGGTTTGTTTTTTTCTAATATTTAGTATGAAAGGAGTTTACAATTTTGTTAAAAAATTCCTGTATTAGTGACCAGAAGCAATAAAAATTAAATCATGAGAAAGAAGTTGAACATTATCCTATTTCATTGAGTAAGCAAACATAGGAAAAGATGTGTTAGCCACCGAAGTGCTTGGTATTTAAATCAATTTCCAAGCCCAACACAAGTTTAAAGGAGCCCGTTACATGATTATTGTTTTTTTAATGACAATCAGACTAGCTAGTGCTATCAAGTAAGGGTCATTATAATAACTGGTCTTATAATAAATAGTTAATTAAAAACTTTATAAAAAAATTAGCAATATAAAATAAGTGAATATTAATCAAACTATAACCGGTTTTTTATAATCGATTTTGATTTGGTAAAATTGGTTTTAATATTTTAAAAATAATCAGTTACACAATCAATTATATATTCAAAACGGTTTATATAACTAGTTACAACTAAAATTGATTTTGAAAACTCAAAAAATAATAATTTTAACCTTTAAAATAAATTTTAATTAAATATAATATAATTATTAAAAATGAAATAGCTACAAAAGTGTATTAAGTACGAAATTAGTTTTAAAAACTACTTTTTAATTTTCAAAACCGATTTTAATTATAACATGTTTTATAATCAGTTAGAAATAAGAGTGGGTTAAACCTTAAGAGGATGAATGAGAGAGATTAATAGAAAGAGAAGTAAGAGAGAGAGAGAGAGAGAAGGAGGGGGGGAGAGAGAGAGAGAGAAGGAGGGGGGGAGAGAGAGAGAGAGAGAGGGAGAGAACTATGGTGTATGTTGTGAAAAAAAAATAAAGAGGAACTCAAGGAACAATAAGTTGGATTGGTGCTTCTAACTGGTAAGCTAGGTTACTCAGTTGGGTTAGTTGTGGATAGGAAAATTGTTATGTTTTTGGGTTGGGTAAGAAAAACTTGGTGATGGTTAGAGTTTGAGAATGGTTAGCCTACATAGACTATATATTAAATAATATTGTGTGAAAAATCCATGGAAGCTTAAGGAATATATATATATATATATGCATTTGACAAAGTAATTGTTATTATTTAAATTGAATTGTAGTGAGAGAACTAAAATTTAAAATTGAGAACTTGGGATTTAAATTAGAAAAAGAGTAAGCAATTAAAATTGATTGAAAATTCAAGTCATGAAGATTTCCATGATTGAAGTTTTGCTATAAAATTAAACAAATTAATTTAATTTTTCTTGAGTTTTTACATGTTTCTATTAAAGTAAATTAATTTAAGCTATCATTTGTTTTCTGTCAAGATATGAATGGAATATTAAATTAAATTGATCATCTATTCTTGAGATGACAATGTTCAATTAGACATTTCACTCACATCCCTGAAAACAAATGTTAGTAGTACAATAAAGTGAGACAAAGAAAAAATAAAAGTTAAATCATGTTCCAAATCATATACACATATATTTTTCATTTTTGAATTATGTACAATATTCAGTCTTCTTTAAAAAAAATTATTGTTGTTTAATTTTAAAAATAATAATTTCTTAACTCATTCTTTAAAATTTTTATAAAGTTAGTATGTTTTTTAAATCACAATACACATGATATTTAGGATATAATTTAAGAGTTAAAATTGAATAAGAATTCAAATTTCATTCAATTATTGATATTTATATTAAGAATTTATTTTTTCTTATTAATGCACAAATGATATTATTTTATATAAGATGTTGTATATGTCAGTTAAATAAATAAGAAATATTAATATTCACTTAAAAATTAATTAAAAAAATGTGTATAATCTTAAAAAAAAAAAAAGCAAGTGCAATTTTTAAAAAAAAATATTATTTATTACTTTGTTTAATGCGGAAAGAATGATGATCTACATTCTGAATTTAGTTTGGCAACACTTAAACTAATTCATATAAAGTTGATATGGATAATGCCCAATCCTAAAATTAAAAAAGGACAACTCACATGTAGTTATTCAAACAAAATAGAAATCAGAAAAAGAGATCACACACCGAAATTCAAAAAGAGAAGAAAAAGAGTCGATCCTTCCATTTCGTCCCAGGTAAGGTTATCTCACGACAAAAACAATCTAATCTCAATCTAATCTCTCTTTCCCTTAAATTTAGAATAATACTTAAATAATACTGTAAACTAAAAAGAGTTTAAACCTAAATTACAATTAAAACACACGTAAATTAACAACAATCCATTGGCCTAGGTTTATGGCCGTGAGATTTAGTTCGTGAGTGTGAACTTCTTTGTCTAAACGTAGCTAATGATAAAAAAAGTTTATAAAAATCTAAATTCGAGTTGAATTTGATTTTTATTTCATACATAAATTAATGTTAATTTATAAAAAAAATATTTATATAGAAATTTATGTTGGAAGTTGTTGGTTCCGATAAAATGATGATAATGAAAACATTATTCCCAAAGCGAAAAGAGACAGAGATTCACCCATTCCGATACCTGAAAGGCATCAGATGAGACACGTTGGAGAGGCAAAGCATGCACGCTCGAGTGAAAGAGATGGCTCTTCCTCTACAACCCACTTCTCTTTTCTTCTCATGTTTGAGGTTAGAGCTAGTTTGTGTCTTAGTCAAAAATAAACACCTTTCCTCCATTCAGATCTCACTTTCACTGCTCATGTCCCCATCTTTCCCACTTTATCAACTCACCCAGGTTCCCGAGGTAACACCAACAAACAAAACCTAATACTTTTACTAGTTTCACCGTTGCTTCAAAAGTCACATAAAATATCCCATTCAGAAACAACACCTTTACAATATACATACATAATAAATACACAAGGACACACGAGCCACCCTAGCAAAACACCTATTGTCCCTAGCACTTGTTCTTTTTTCTCCTACTCAATATCAAAGGCACTTGTCGTTCCTACATTTTTCAGGAGAGGTGTCGCTCACCGATCGTGGCAGCTCAGAGGACTCGCATTCTGTATAAATCAACCAACTACATAATTAATTCAACTAACTACCTACCTTCCAAATATTAAGTTCACAAAATACACATACATAATATGGGTTTTTAATGTGAGTTAATCAACAACCAATCATATCTTTTAAATTATTTTATTTTATTTTACATGATATTATTAAAAAATATTATTAAAAGATATGATTAATCATCGGTATAAAAAAAGTTTACAAAAAGACAGTGTATAAATAATTAACTTTATTTTTTAATTAAATTAAAATTTCATATTTTAACTCAAAAACAATGAATTATTATCGTCATACATTCAACTTTTTTCTATTTTTTTATAATCTTTTTGGGTAAATTTAGGTATTTTAATGAGAATTAAATTAAAGATTAAGTCTTTAAAGTAACGAAATTTATTTAGGAGATTAATTTTGTATGTTGTCTTGTTTTATTTTGATTTTGATTAAAAAATAATGATAACTGGTAGCAAGAAATGGAAAAGGAAAATAGTAAGTTACCGGTAGAAGCATTGAAAGAGTTTTTGCAATGCAAAATAGCACCCTGAATCCAATCATGTTGGTGCAACAGCGAATCATCGCGGCGTTTCGAAGTGAGCAACGGCGGCGAAGGGCCCTTGCCGAAATGCTTGCGTAGAGCCGCAGGCAGAGGAACAGTCCCCTGCTTCTGAGTGTTCCCATTGGGTGCTCTAGAAACCCTGACGTAGAGAGGCTTGACCATTTTGAAATAGTTGCGCATGAAGCGCTTCTCCTCTGAGGCAGAAGGAACATTCTCCGTGGGCTTGTCCTCTGCGTCGTGGGGCTTGGGCTTCTTGAGGCCCAACATGAAGACGCGGAACTTGGTGGCGGATTTTAGCAGCGAGGCCTTGACGTGAGGTTTGGGTTGGGACTGGGAGGGGTCGTCCAGGAAGATTAAATCGTGCGAGGGAGAGAGCTTCAAGTCTGAATCCGAGTCTGAGTCTGAGTCTGAGGCTGAGTTGTCGTTTTGAGTCTGATTAGCGTCGTG